GAAGAGCAGGAAGTGTATGTGGTGAGAAGTCATCAAACTGAAGAGAGGAAGAAGTTCTGTAAACACATTATCTTCCTCCTCTTCACCTTCAGATAGGCATTTTATTAAAGTCTCACACCAATGATACCGCTTGGGTGCATTCGTGTGGTTAATAGGGTGACAGACTACTGTGGGATTTGAACAGTAGGTATAAATAGATACAGTGCAGCTTTGATAACTCAGATCCAAAGGGACTGTGGAAAAATAATACTTATGCTAACAGTTTTTATATAAAAGCAGATGGTTTGGTTGTGTTTAAGGGGCTACAGAAAGTGGCGGTAGAGGCTTGGGGTTATTGGTTATTCATTGTGTTGAAGATTTTGCATTGAGTTAGTTGTCTTTGTGAACAAGGTCATGGGGGACTTGGTCAAAACTGTTTTTTAGTAAGGCTGTACACAGTATTTTTTTTCAGGATATTCAGAAAGTAGTATACAGTGATAGACTCCCAGGTTGCTATTCAGAACCCTTAAATGCTATTTGAGCATCTGATATTTCCCGTTTGATTTAGGAGTTCAGCTTAACTGTCAAAGTGGGGGAAAAAAAAAAAAAAACAAAACTTAATTTACGACACTTTTTGGGGGGGTGGGGGGACACAGTATATTTTCTTCAGCAAAGTGGTATAAAACTAAAGGGTACCTCAATTAGGTATGATACTAAATATACCTGTTGTGCCCAAAGTATTTCTGCTAGTTTTTAAAGTGTGCCCTCTATCAGTTGATAGAAAGGTACTGTGGTGTTTTCGTCTTCTGTTGATGAATGCACGTTTAGATTACTGCAAATGAATGTCATCTATTACCCAATTTTTTTAAGTGCTCTTAAGGTGCTTACGAAGATGTATACTCTACAAGTACTTGCTTGTCTGATTGTTTCTTGACCCACTAGTAATAACCTTCATATCAGCACTGTTAATGTTTAAATTCTGTTGAAATATAGTTGACCTATAGAAGGTTTGCAGAGATTTTCATCCGTTTCTTAGTGCAGCAGATTGAATAACATGGAATGGAGGAACATACTAGTTCTCTGAGGATGGGTGCGTTTCTGCAGCAAGACTAAAGGCTTAAAATGACAGCTGAATCTGATATAATTTCAGGTTGGGAATATGGTCAAAATCAAGCGATACCTGATTCAAGAAGCATCAGGTTTAATGTGCCTATGCTGTACTTGTAAAAGTGGTGGCAATAAGCAGGTTACTGGAACCGGAATAATTCCTCTGGTCCCCAACAAAACCCAAAGGAGCCAAACAAATTCAAACAAGGAAAAAAAAAGAAGATAAGTATGATTTGGAAAAAATCCAGCACGAGAATTGATGCGTTATTGGTTTCTAAAGGTAATCAGTTGAAGACTGAATATCTTTCTAGAAAAGTGCTTTCTATAAACACTGAGCATTATGCACAGATGAGTGGTTGAAATTGTGTGTTTCTCTAGACACTTTTTATCTGTTTTTTCTTTCTGGCCTGAAATAATTGATTCATTGTAATTCTGCTACTCAGATTGTATTACATAGGTAAGTATCAGTTATTGAAAGCTTGGTATGTTTATTTAATCATTTGATCGTTTATTGATTGTTTATTTAACACTTTGTCTACTATGTCAATATCTGAAACTTAAAACATGGTTACATCTAGTAAGACAAAACAGGAGACCTCCAAGGAGAATTCAGTAACTTCAAGAAAAAAGTGGTACTAGTAATGCTCATAAAGATATGTAATGGAATCTTTTGATGAGGATATTGGATAGATAGGTGGAAAGTCATCTCTTTTCAAGTCAAGATATTTGACTGTTCCGAAAAAGTGATAACAAGCCATCACCTGTCAAAGTACTGAGATATTAAATTAGTCAAGAATTGAAGGCTATCCAGTAGCCACATCAGATAACAGGAAGCCTTAATGTTCTTTCTGATGGAATAAATAAAATTGCCAAACTCTTAAAGCTCCCCAGAACTCTTCAGATGTTACAGTGAAAAACTAATCATAATTTCTGTCACAGGATATTTTCTGTGAAATCTTGTTGTGGGTGTTTTGTGGCTAGCGATGCTTACACATTTTGGTGTATACTGCATTCATTTAGCCAGGGTAACACAAATGAAGCCTTAGCCAGCTGCTGGTGTGTTAATCTGTTGAGGAATTTTGTTTAAAACATTTTCCTGAAGTTTGTCCATATCTTTGTTTTGTTTTTTTTTTTTTAATTGGAATGTTAATTCAAGGTGGTAGAGAAGATGTTAGCTTACTTTACTAAGAATAATCCCAAACTGGGATTTTTCCCAAACTGGTTTTAAGAAAATTTGAGTTTTTGGTTCTCTGTTTCATTTTCAGACAATGAGGGCTATTGGCTTGCTGCGCTAGTGTCAAACTGTATGTGAGACTTTGAAATCCTTGGTTTTGCTGTTAATTGCGTTTACAGTTGATACAGGATTTATTTATTTATTTAAAAAAACAGCAGCAATGTTGCAGATTTTAGCCTGAGGACTTGCCTTTTTTTCCTCTCTTCTTCAAACTGCAGCTCTATATTATCTCCTGTATGTATCAGTCTCTTAAATCTGCATGCTTTCCTTGCTGAAATGTTCAAGGTATGGCGTAAAGCTCTGTTTTTGGTTCAAAAGCTCAGTGCCGTTTGATGCAGCACCTAGTCAGATGACCAGAACTGCAGTCTGTCTTTCACTAGTTCTAGTCAGCATTTACTAACCAACAACGTGGTTGCTCATCATTGCTCAGTAATTAGAGGGCTCCTAAGTTTGTTCCATAATTAATGTGTTCTTAGCATGCTAACACATGCAAAACTTGATTTTTCTTGATTAGCATTGGCTATTGAGGTGATACAGGATTTCTCGTGCTTCTATTTGAGGATATGATAGCTGTTACATTCCCCCTTTTTTCTATTACTGTTTCTGGTGGTGAGACAGAACCTGAATGGTACTGAATCTAGCATAACGTTTCTTCTCTTTGTAGGCATCTGGCACTTACATGCCATGTGAGGAAAAAGGCATTTAGAAGTGAATTATTTCAGTTGTATTTTGATTTGTTGATGGGATTGTTAATTGTGATTTCTTTTTTCCAGAGTTGAGTTCAGAAAACCTCAAAAACTGCTTTAAGATCATCAATGCTTATATTTTCTTATCCTCTTCTGAATTTTTACAGGTATGTTACCATTGTTTAAAGCTTTGTATTAGCACCTTAGTTCCTTATTGTCCAGCTACGTTTTTCCCTTCATATTGGGACATCACACACCTAGAAATGCGCACGCTCTCATTTGTTCATTTAAATGTATGTAGGCACACTCTTCTGATGTTAGCTCTTTCTGGCACATAGTGGGCATTCAAAATCAGATTTCAGAGAAGTTCTGTAGAATTAATAATAATTTTGTGAATTGATTTAATACTTTGATACCAGAAAAGGCCCTATGAAGGATAATAATAGTTACTACTTTGTTAACTATCTGCCAGGGTTCAAATTATGATCATAAATTCTATCAAGAAATCAACTAGAGATATTATATCTTGTTCTCAAACCTTCTTTCTTACAAAATTCATTGAGATTGATTGTTGAAAAAGTGATTTTATTTAATACAAAAAAAAAAAAAGCTTTCCTTAAATTTAACTAGTTCAGGAAAGATGATTTTTAACAACCATGATCTTTGAAGAAGAGCTGGGTCTTCGGAGATACGTAATCCTTGATGTATTGAGTTTTGAAATGTATATACATAGAATTAAGATATATTTACTCTTTTTTTTTTTTAATTTAATTTCAGATGTATGCCACTGATTTGTGCCGGTCATTTTGTGAACTCTTAAAGGACATAACTACTGAAGGTCAAGTTCAAGTTTTAAAGGTAGAGTATAACCAAAATGATGTTGATATGCAGATATTCAGCTCTGTAGTACTTATCCGAAGTAATGTACTAGAGTTTTATCATCTTTGATTTTTTTTTTTAAAGTATGATGACTGTAGAACATGTTTTTAAAAAAAAAAAAAAAAAACCACACAAAACAGAAAAAGCCCAGGTCTTATTTAGCACATATGACTGTTGGAGCCAGAGGTTTTTTAAATTATATATCTAAATTATCTGTTTGTAGAGATGGTGTGTATGTAGGGGGGGTACACTGATACACACTCTCAAAAACAAAAAACCCCCCAAACTCCTAATTGTTGTCCCAAGGCAAGCTAGCACAACCCATATAAAGTATCTTCAAATATATCACCTAATGCTCTATTCTAATACTTTCTGCAATGCTTCCTTTACTTCATGTTATTTCAAGATGTTGTCCTTAGTTAAAAGAATTCTAAGCTATTCTGAGTCCTCTTTGTACTGATGGATTTGCATTAAGAGTTCCCAAGACTCTTGCCGTTTGATTATTCTGTAGATTAATGGAGGAAGAAAGTTAGCGATACCTCAGACTTGTAGGAAAACAGAACAAACTAAAACAGCTATTTTAATTGTATCGTGGCCTGGCAACAGCATACCTAACCTTTACAGGCAGGTGGCCGATCACGGTATTGCAAAGATGGTATTGTCCTCAGAAGATCTTAGAGCACTGAGAACGCCAGTTCTTATGGAGAATGTGTATAAGATGTCTTGTGGTTGATGTACCATATTGGAAAAAGGTTATGTCAACATTCTTCAATACACAGTAACGTTCAGACAAAACAAGGAGAGTGTTTAGATCAAAGTGACTTAAGTTTAATCTTTGGACTCTTGGAACATGTAGAAAGCTAATTAAAATTATTCAGTTCTAATTAAATTTTACAATTGTGTGATCTAGAGCAATTCTACATGGAGAAGTTCAGAAAGGTTGGCCAAAGTATAAAGGATAATCGCACTTAACAGCTCTATGGCCAAGGGTCCAGTCTTTACTGAGTATTGGATGCACATATTCTCCCTCTCCTATTTCTTTGTGTAGTGTGCTTGAGTTTTTACTGTGACGTCGTAGTAAACCAATCTTTGTATTTCTCATGAGCTGCTATTGTAATAGCAACACCTGTTTAAATGGAGTTGCTAGAAGTTTTTCAAGTCTTTTAAAAGCTTTTTTTCCCCAAAAACTTTGAATGGTATTATGAAAGAGATATTAGGAAATTCATACCCAGATGTTTGAAATACTTTTGTATGTATTTTGTATGTAAAAGGCACATGAATGTGCCTTTTGAAAAATTTCGGAAGGTAATAAAGTTGGGGAGTATGAAATAAAGATAGTTGAGAAGAAGCAGAGAAGCGTGGGATTAGAGCTGTAATTCAGGAAGGTGGAACTGTGAGGTAGGATATTATGACAATAGAGCAGAAGACCAGCTTGTATTCAAGGTCAAACATTCCCTTCTTGAAATAAACATACAGAAAATAAAAATGTATAAAGAAATCAGATATTGTTTTACATTCAGGATTGTCTTATTTGTTGCTTATGTTGTAACTGAAAACTTGTTATTTTTAAATTGATGCTTTTAAATGATGTTTTTCCCCACCTTGCTGTTTTACTGACTTTTCTGCAGTCCCAAGTACTACTTTTCTATGAGGTAGCTTTTGCAATGGACAGTTTGCTGACAATTTTCTTCATCATAAGGAATTGGAAAATAAAGTATTAGTGCTTTTCCAGTTCATTGTTTCCTCCCATTTTAAGTTATGGGGGCCTCAGGAGGCAGAAATTAGAGCCCTCCTACCTCTTTGGTGGCTTGTACAACTGCTTACAGAATCCCAGGAGAAGAAAACAGCAGGATAAATTGATGTTCTGCCCATTTGTGGTTCCTGCTGTGAGGAATTCGGAGCATAAGGGTTCTAGTTCTGCAGCTAAACATCAGTTCCTCTCTGTCAGCACTATTATGTAGAGTCTATACTTCGACATATGTTTGATGCAGCAACTTTTAAACAGATTCCTAAGGTGGAATGATGCTGCTAGAATAGTATCATTTAGCAGTTTGGCTCCCAGCGTGGTCTTCCATTACTCTCAAGATTTGTCCAGTGCAGTTTGAACATCTTCCTAGCATGTCTACCTGCTTCTAGAGGAAGAACGAAAATATAATCAATATAAATATTTTAATAAAAAGAGAATGTTTTGTCGAGTACAACTGTGCTGTCTTTTAGTGGAAAGCTAAAATAAATTAACGTTGGGAACAAGGACCACCTGAAGTTCTGTGAAATACTTCCCTAAAAACAGTATTAGTTGTATTGAAAATAGGCATTAAAATAGTAAATAAAGTGATAAAGATGAAAAAAGTAATTTGGACTGGTGAGATATATTGTGAGATTAAGGCTTGATGTGATTTGATTTAACATTTTTAAGTTATCTAGAAGAAATTAAAGAGTGTTAATTTTCTGATGTTATATCCAAAGATAGCTGATACTATAAGCAAGTCCACAGGAATAAGACCAAAAAAAAAGAAAAGGAAAGGTCAAAAATAAAGGGGAGAAACAAAGATGTAGGAAACAAAATTATGACAGAGGTAATAATTGAGAATTACTTATTTTGAGCAGTATTTAAAAGAGAAAGGAGAAAAGCAGTAAAGCAAACAAAATGAAGGATACTAGTAGACAAAAAGCAGCAATATTTTCAATAGATTGCAGTGAGTTAAGTGGCTTTTGGAGGTGTATGTACATAAAGACTGGATTTATGAATATTTTGCAACAGTTGAAGTGGTTGCTGTGTTTATTCTGTCAGCAACAATGGCAAGTGTTTAAGAAATAATGAGAGAATTTATTCATAGGGTATGAAAATATAAACAATTCCATCTTTTTGCTAAAATGACTGTGACTGAAACGTTTTAGGTAAATGAATACATCTTTTCTGTTTGGAAAGAGGTTGCTGAACAGAACTGCTAATTTAGTTGTCAAGGAAACTTTGTTTTCTTGTGGTCACTTTGAAAATTCTTATGAGAGACATAGGACTTTGAAAACTGAAATTATTGAATATTTTAAGTTCCGCTTCAGATTCAGGAGTAGTAAAGCCACTGTTTACAGCATCCTCTTTTAGAGTGCTTCAGCTTATTAGATAAGCAGGTTAAATAAACAAAAGCAAGATAAATAAAAGAAATTTTTCGCTTTATGAGATAATCGTTCCATTATCCAACAAGTTTTTGAAGAACATCCCTTTGTTAAGAAAACCAAAGCTTCCTGGTGATGCTTTTGGCACAATCATGAGTTCATTTCTTGGACTCCATCTTTTCCTTGCTCTTTGAGCATTGCCAAGAGAGATTGTTGCTAGTCATTACCGCTTAGGACCAAATGATCTTTTCTTCTACATGACTATTAGTGCAATAGCAGTCTCAAAGATCAGAAAGTAGTAGGCGTTACTGGGAGGAACAGGGGACTTACTGCATGATTTGCCCAGTTGTAATATTGTATGCTACTCCATTCCCTTCATCTCAAAAAGGATATAGTAGAATTTTAAAAAGTTCAGATAAGAGCAGGAAGGACCATCAAAGATTTGAAAAGCTTCTGTACAAGGCGCAAATGAGTTAACTGAAAGAGATGACTTGAAGGGAAAAGACCACTATGTTAGTGGTCTACAGGACTGAGAGGCATGGAAAGGGGTCTGCTGTTTAACATCTGAGGCAAGAAATTGGAGCTGTTAAATGAAGCTAGTAGGGATAGTGGGTTTTTTTATTTAAAAAAAAAAAAGCTGTATTTTAAAGCAGCAGGATATTCATGTGTATGTGGATTCGGAGGAGACTGAACAAGACCATAGAAGATGAATTCGTGCAGGAAGTCCCCTTGAGCTGCAAGTAAACAGAAACTAAGGAGAGCTTTCAGGGGAAGAATCATATACGCTCTCCCCATTCTTACTTTTCTGTACATATCTGCATATGATCTCTGTTCTTTTCCCCATAGAAGTGAAGTATTATTTTCCTCACAGCCTCCTCCCCCCTCCATCTTGGCAAGGGGAGAGGCCGAACAATCAAGGGGGAAGAAAATGTCCAAAGAAACAGGAAGATATTTTGGAGAGCAGCTTATGAGCAGAATGAGAGAGCTGAGAAACAAAGGGTTAAGAATGTAAAAACAGGGAACCAGAGTGGGCCGCTGAGCTTAGCACACCTGTGAGCACTCACGATTTCATGAATGAGTCCAGGGAGCTGGTAGGTCCCATCCAGAGGTTCTCCAAAGAAGTGACAGGACAGAGGAATAGAAATAAGCCCCACACTGCTGAGATTCCTCCCTTCTAGCTTCTCTCATCAAGCTGCTTTTCCCAGATCCCTGGCTTGCCAGCTTGGCCAGGTCCAGGAGAAGATGGATGACGAGGTGCTTGGTTAGGTGGACCCTTAATTTCACTTGGCATGTCAGTTCTTACAGTGTGTCAGTTCCATTATGCAGATCAGGTGCAGCTTCACTAGAGCTATGAGCTCTTCTGATATGAATTGTAATCCTGCTTTTTACTGTTAAACATCCTACTAGCAGGACTACTTACAGACCTGTATATGTACTTTTAAATCTCCATTACGATTTCTCAGTGTACTTACAGTCTAACTTGCTTTTGTTTTTAAGGTTGTGGAAAATGTCCTAAAAGTAAATCCAGTTTTGGGGCCTCAAATGTTTCAACCTCTTCTTCCATCAGTATTCAGGGGGATTATAGATGGGGAGGTAAGAATTATTGTTTGTAACTGCTCTCAACTCTTCATTACCAGCAAGAAGGTACCCTTGGCTATCTGGCCTAACTTTCCCATTTCAACATTTCTTTCTTTCTCTGTTCTCTGTGACAGAGGCTTTCAGTGTTTTTTTTTTTTTTTTTTTCCTTAGGTGCTTTTAAGTTCTTCTTTTCAGTTTTGCCATTATATAAGCACTCCATACGCTTTAGATAAATACTTACTTCACTCATACATTTTATATATTCAGTTTTAAAATTCATTTTTGTTCAGCATTTTTTGTTTTTAAAAGGTAAACATGAGCAATACCATTCCTAAATTCATAGTAGTAGCTAGGGTGTACATTATCATTTTCCCACACTAATGGAATAAATGAGTGAATTATTAGACTTCTAAGTGGCCGCTACAGTGGAGGGGTTTTTTCTGTCCATGTTGATATCCTCAGACAGAGAAAAATCACAGAACAGGAAATAGCATGCATCTGAGGTGCACTGCATCATCTTGAGATATTCAAAATGCTTGTCTGAACTGTTTTAATACTTTTGTTCTCTCCTTCTGCTAGTGATTTTTGTGCAGCTCTTTGCCTTCAAGAAATTCTGGTATTGGACCAAAAGAATTAAAATACAGCTTTTTTTTTTTTTTTTAAACTGTTGAACTTTGCAGCTACCACAGTAGAAAAATTACTTTTGTCAGCAAAGTCAGTGGGTGGAAATTTCTATGCTTATGATTTTTGGAGCAAAACCTTTGCTTCTTTCAGAGTTGAAGACTTCAAGGTATCAATATTTGGCTCCCATTATCATTGAGTTAACCAAGATACTCCCGAGATTAAACTGAGTAATATTACTTATCAATGTACTTGTTGCTGTACAAAATACAAAAAAGAGAATTTGAACAGTTTGCAGTTTGAGGAAGGATACGAAACTATACAGATTAAAACTGGAGAGAAGATTATTAAAAACATGTTCTGATCTAAGATCATAATAAATTCACTTCCAAATATTCAAAAATGTATTAATTACCTTTTTCAGGTAAACATTGGCCTTTTGTTTTTCAAGTAAGCAGTTCCACAAAATACCTGCTTTCGTCTTGCTGAATGCTGAATTTAATACAAATGCAACTGTAGTGTCTTTTAAAATGAAAAGTAATAACTAGCCATAAAAAATGAGTTATTTTACTGCAGCCAGTTAGTTTTGAGACACAAGTTAGTTTTTGGCAAATGCATATAATTACTTTCAGATAAACTGTGTAACTTTAGAAATAGTAGGCATTTCTAAATGTCGTTAAAATAGTATTTTTGAATCATAATAAACTTTAAAAGATGCAGGATTTAATATGTAAATCACTTTGAGTTGTCTTTGCTGTTTGGCAAAAACTGAGCTTGAGATTGCCATAGTTTTCCTCTTCTAAGAACCAAGAAACTTCTTGGTAATGATTCCTCAACATTGTGTTCTGAGGGGCTTTTATAGTACAGTTTATAATTTCTAATTTAATAAAATACATCAAGGAAGGATGCATGCAAGTATTCTCCGTGTATTTCTTTGTTGTACGTTAAGTATTCTTTTTCTTAGTCAAACTAATTTTTTTTTTCTAATTTACTTCTATTTCAGAGATATCCAATGGTGATGTCTACTTATCTGGGGGTCATGGGTAGAGTTCTACTACAAAACACAAGTTTTTTTTCATTACTTTTGAGCCAGATGGCTTGTGAATTGGGTCAGGAGGTAAGGATATTTGTCTGGGTATTTCAGCTGGACTGGATATTGAAGTCTTGCATTCTTTTGACATTCTTGCATTCTTTTGAAGAAGTTTTCCCTATATTTTCCATGCTTGTTCCTCCCTGATCCAACTTGATCCCTCCCTTCCCCCTCCTTTCATTCTTCCCCTGAATATCTGTAATAAGTTTTATACATTCCACAATCCCCTTAAGCATCTCATAAGATTTACCCAGTCTCTGATTTCTCTTCCCTCTGCATCCTATAATAAGTCCCTTTAATTTATTTGGCACTACATGACGAGAGCTTCTTTCCTGGACTCATCTTGGTGGTTTCACACCAGGGACAACGATCTAATCATTCTCCTTTGATAGTCTCTAGAAGTAGCTGATTCATTGTGCTTCATTTTCACTGATTAGGTTACTCAGGTGGTTCTGCCTGTCCGTGTTTCTTATCTTTGCTGGCTTTTTGTGTTCTCTGTGATTAGCCTTTATTCATACACCCTAACAGAAATATTCATTTAGATTTGGAACCTGTTTTAACTGTGTCGTCTTTGTGTATGCATATTCTTTGCACAGCATGCTGCTGTTATTATTAGGGAACTGAGGACTGCTGTGATAGGAATATTCTGAAAGACAGACAACAGCAGGTCTCAAAACTTAAGTCATTTATGCTCAGCTGGTAGGTAATCTCTCTGTTAACTGAAAATTAAGCATGAATCGAACACATTACTAAAACTTTAGGTGTACCGTACAGTGAGTGTCCTGCTGTGTTCTTAGCTCTGATGACAAGCTTTGATACTTCTTAGTCCCTGAGGTAGAGATGGCTGGGCTCCAGAGCTCTTTGACAAGAGAAGACAATACTAAAATGGAAGACAATACTAAAATGGAAATACTCAGGGAAGGAAGAAGTCCTGGAAGCACTGTCATAGATGATAAAAAATCTGCAGCAACAGTCTACTTGTATCATCTGTACATAACTGGATGGTCACTTTCCCAGACTGAATGTCTCCAAATTGATTGCTAAATTAGTGTTTTTCTAATATACTAAATTAAGTGGGCGTGCATTAACTGAAAACATTCTGTTTTCTTATACATTGCAATACGACAGAGCAGTTTATCTGTAAGTTTATTATATGCAATATATTTCTTTTTCCCCTTCTTCAGTTGGACCAAATTCTCGGTAACATGATTGAAATGTGGGTTGATCGGATGGATAACATCACTCAGCCAGAAAGACGAAAACTTTCTGCTTTGGCGTTGCTGTCACTTCTGCCATCAGTGAATAGGTGAGCAAATTTAAAATGCATTATACAAGAATACTAAGAAGGCCCTCAAGATGTTTTTAAAAATCTCTCACGATTCTGCAGGTTAATATTCAGGAATGAGTAATTTTATTGCATCTTTGTTTGTGGCTAAATATACGGCAAAATATTTAAGAGTGTTCATACCACATTATATTAACTCTTTATTGCATTTCTTAGCAATGCAGTAAACTTCCTTATATGTCAAAGTGAGGAAACAGGACTGTATATTTTATTATCCTGTGCTGTCATATAGTATATGATAATATACTGTCATATAGTATATTATCATATACTGCACATTCTCATATTAATACTGGGCTAGCTGCTTCTCACAACTGTGTTTAAGTAGTTTTCATTGGCCTGTAAGTCTTTTGGGGTCCCTTCCAGGGAACAATATTTGTTCAGTCTTACTTCATATTGAGTGCAGATCTCAACTTTCATCCTGTTTTTCCCCTTCATGACACAAAGTGGAAGAGTTGCATGGCAAAAAGAAATAAGATTGGGTGTTTTTTCACTGTAGACTTCTGTAGCAAGCAGCTTACGTTATTGTCTTTTTTCTGTCCATTATCGTTGGTCAATACACACATAAAAGGAATGTTTTCAGTGAAAATGATGAATAGTGTAACACCGAGTTTGAAATTGTCACTGTTGGGATTCATGTATAACACATGTTTAGATGGTGTTTTTAGTCCATAGTTACCTTAGAATTACTCGTCTGCTTTGTAAGTCGGGAAGACGGTATGGCATGAGTTTACATTTGGTTTGGAGGATTTCCTGAAAAGTTGTAAAGTATTTTCTAATGGTAATTAAGGTTCTGCTTAGAAATCCTAAAACTGTGTCAGTATCTGTAAAGCTGTAGAATATGTACTCAGTACTCTAAACATTAGGGAGCTCTTGTATGTATAATTTAAAGAGGTTTCACTGCTTCTAATATGCATAGAAGTTGTCTGTTTTCTGCTCCCCCTTCCCTTCCTTTCCGCAGTCATCAGGACAGACACCTAGCCAAAGGTGAATCAAGCAGCTGCTTTGTGTAAAAGTTGTTTGTTTTTTTTTTTGGGGGGGGGGGGGAGGGGGTCTATGTGTCTTCAGTTCACTAAGAAAAGTAAAATAATGGTTGCAAATGGGAATGCCTTAATGAAATGTGTTCAATAACATGCAGCAACAGGTGGTGGAGCAGGTCTGTTCCAGAGACAATTATGCACAGGATCGCTTTTACCTGCCCTGCACCCTCTCCGGGCTTGCTCAGGAAAGTTCCTGCCCAGCTTTGCACTTTGCCAATCGATAAATGCCTGTCTTCCTTTCAAGTTTCTCTTATAGAGAGGAAGGAAAAAGAACTTGCTGTAGATATCTTTGTTATTTTGAACTACCTTCAGCTGCTCCAAATTTCCTGCTGCAAGAGCCAATTATTCCTGGCAGTCCTTACACAATAGAAATTCTCCAAATGACAACTTTATTTTCCAGATATTCAAATTATTTAGGAATACTTTTCTCAAATAAAAAAACTCCTCTTTTTAATGGGCATCTTTATGTAATAGCTGCAGAAATTTTACTACCCAGACCAAATATACCTTCAGACAGAATATGTGAAATTGATTCTACCAATTGATTTTTCCATCTACTATGGAACAATATGAATCATTCTATCAATCCCATTGTATTATTCCCATTATATTATGTGTGCTTGCTGCATTTGAACACTTGAAACTCCTGTTAAAATTTATTTTTCTAAAATAGGACTATTGTGCAAATCAATTTGAAAGGTTTAAACAGTAATTTAAACAGTACAATATTTAAACAAAATATTGTTTTGATTCATACAAACAACCTTCTCAAGAAAAGCAAAGTAATTTTTCCTTTGGGAATACTTTTCTAAACAGGCTCCTGTTTTAGATACTCTTTTGGATATCCAAAGCCAACTCAAGATTCCTCAGCTGCATGACCAGAATAGAGTTTTGTCTCCCAAGAATGGCAGTGAGACTGGTTTGCTCCAGAAAGCTGAGCCTGCTGCTTTTCCTGTTTCACTCTCAGCTTAGCAGGCAGTGCTGTCCCGTTCAGTGATCATTGGTGGTACCAGTGGCAGGCTCAGGTTTTCAGGATTCTGCTCCAGGGAAAATAGGCAGCAGCACTGTATCTAGCGCTTCCTGGGGATTTCGTTCTTCGCCTGTTGCCTCCTCTAGCCTATAAAATAATAGAATAATAATATCAAATTATTTAGTGAGGAAAGGCAAGGCGTAGACAAAAGTAGCACACCACAGAGCTGCTTTATGAATTTAATGA